TTCGTTTTAACTCTTTCCAATAGGTTCAAATAGCGAAGATTTCTCATCTAACCACCCGTGTCGCTATAACCGGTCGAAAACCACCGGTTAACCGCGGTTCTTCTGCTTGATTTTTTTTACTTCTCACTGAATGAAAATTTTTTTACTCTTAGAAGATCTTCAGACTTTAGTCAAATTCACGCTTCCTTATATTTGTGAGTGCGCTGAAGCCGCTGGTACCACCCACCTCGGCTATTTTCGCTTCGTTTCCGAGTTTGGATATTTATTAAAGATGGAGCCGCAAAAATAACTATTAGTTAGAAGAATAACTAATATAGAAATTTGTAGCACCATTTAACATAATATGCGGTAACATATTAAAATCGACTGTTTTGAGTGAAAATGGATGTTTCCTGGAGGTATAATATTAATTTTGCAGAGAAATCGATATAAAGTGATGAAAAATGGGTAAATCGCTCGAACCGGCGGTTTTTTAAAGAACCGCGCTTAACCGGCGGTTTTGATGAAAAAAAGACGACATGGACACTCTCGTCTTGAGTAATGGGTTTCTGGAGCTCTTGGGAAAGTATTTGATATTACTTTAAGATTAAAAATATTCGCTAAGCTCATCTAGTTTGCGTATTTGAATGCACTAATGTTCTTTGTTGTTTCAGATTATTCTGAAATATCTCTCACCTTTTCTTCACACTCATAATGCCTAAAAAGAATCGACGTACATTATTGTGTGAATCTTTTTTGAAACAACGATATTCAAGTGAAACTTTAGGAAATGAAAGTGAAGATAGTACCTCTGAAGAAGGGGAAGAAATGGAGACCGAATTAAACAATATCAATATTGAAGATAAAGAAAAGATCGATTTCGACAAGCCAATATTTCTGAATGATATTGGTGATATCTTCCGTAAGTGACTCTGTTAAATTAAGCACCTGGAAAGATCACTTTCTTCGTCTTCTCTCAAAACTTCCAATGGAAGTTCGGAAAAAGTCTTAATCATTGTTAATTCTCTTTCAAAATTTAGAATTGTGTAAAGCGTCCTGTCCTCTCAAATACTTAAGTGTATTAGTCTATACGACCTTACGGCATGTTGGTCTAAACTGGCAGCAATGTGATGATATTTTACGTCCAATAGGTTCATTATTAAGTGAAACATCACAAAAACACACCGAAGCCTTCCTTTTTGGTGATTTCAAAGATTTTACGAGTGAACACCGTGGTGGCAAACATACTAGTGCATTTTTTGATGATTTTCCTGAAATTGAAACTGAAGCTAAAGTTTATACGCTTACCCGGTGTTCCGATAAAGCAGCAAATTTTAGTATTAATGATTTAGCGAGATTTATCGATGAGAAATATTATGAAACAACTGGAACAACAAAACCAAAAGATAGTGAATTAATTAGATCGAAAGCTTCAGTTCGGTTAGTCTTTGTTTTTAGTATAGATGCGTTGCAGATGACGCTCAGGAGTTGCGGTAGCAGTGTCAAAATCGGATACAAACAATTTTTTTGAATTTTGTTTTAGTTATTCAAAATGCTTTTTCTGCTTTAGTCTGGATTTACGACGTTGGGGAGCAACTTTTCGTGAGAATGGAGCACGTCCATACTGGGAGGGCCATGAAAGAGCAGATGTTGTCAAAAGTCGTGAAACATTTATAAATTATTTTTTGGATAATAAACAAAGTTATTACACAGTCAATGATAACGAAAACTTACCCGGTTGGATTAAACCTGAGAAAAAGCCAGGTCGAATCCTTATTTGTAAGTGAAGTTTTTTGTTTAGACCACAGTGAGTTAATTTCGTTTAATTTCAATTTTTAGTCCATGATGAGTCGACATTTCGTTCGGGAGAGATAGCCAGCCGTCGTTGGTTTTATGGAGATCAGGCACCCTTTTACAGTAAAGGCCGCGGCCGTTCTAATATGGTATCGGATTTCGTCGTCCAGCATCACTCTGACCCCTATTTCAATTTAAGTGAAAAGGAAATGAAACGAGCTGTGAAAAAGTATCCTCAGCTGGCAGCATCAACAGATCTTGATTATGTTCCACGTACAGCCACGGCTTCTCTTCACATAGGATATGATTGTTACATGGATAACGAGGCCGTTCTTGATCAGTGTGAGCGTATCTTTCAGAGGATTGAATTCAAAGAAGCATATCGTGATCACTCAGTGGAATTCATCTTTGACAATGCTCGCACTCACACAAAAAAGTCTCACTCTTTAAGTGATTTCAGTAAAAATATTGGCACTAAATGTGCAATCGATCAAATTCAGTGAGTGTTTTTATAAGAATTACTTCAGGACTTTTTATTGTTTCTCAAAAGTTTTGATTTCAATTAATTGCACCAATCTTCTCCCCATTCTAGGTATAGAGATTCAAATGAAAAAGCACAAGTTTTAGATTGTTTTTTCGTGAACGAACCAAATCGTGGTTTAAGTAAAGGCTTGGCGGTGCTTGGAAAGGAGTTGAATGTAAGAAATGCTGATCGTCTGACATTACCAGAATTACGCTCTCATCTTGCTGATCATCCAGCATTTCAAACCGTAGGATTTGTTTAGTTCATTTTTTGATTTCAGACAGACAATTTATCAAATTTGCATTTCCTCACTTTAGGTCTCTAGATTGGAACTGTTAGCTCAGAAATATAATATTACCATTCATTTTTGTCCCAAGTTCCACTGCGAACTGAATATAACAGAAGGCTTATGGTGTTATCAAAAGCAGTACGTTAGGAAAAATTCGGATCAGACCTATCCGACTATGCTGAAAAATATTCAAAGTGAGTTTTTTTTAGATTTTACTCGAAAAATGGAAAATGACTATCTGATATACTTCGTCACAAACTATTTTTTGAGTATAAGAAACAAACAGCGATCGTATTTCTTGATTCTAGATTCTCGGGACGAATTCGCCAACAAAGATACATATTTACGTTTAGTTCGGCGATTTTGGCGTGCCCTGGAATGGTATAAACAAGGCAAAACATATGCAGAAGTCATGAAGAGTTTTTTTAGTGCGAGGTGTGAAGGTGCTGTTAAAAATCATACTCGAATAAGTAACAGTAATTTAGCTAAAAAATGAAAGACAAGTTTGTACATAGATGTCCTTTTTCGATTTGCTGACCTTCATTTGTTTAGAATTGTAGCTTTGTTTTGAACTTTAGATTTTTTTGTTTGAGATGTTCTTTTCGTCTCTGGTGTTTTGTACAGTGCTGCTTCTGTGAAGATATTGATGCTTAGTACTATCAAGCAGTTAAAAATGCATAAACGCACAGCAAGAAATGACAGATTTGTTATTAATTTCAGTGAGAGAAGTCTGAAGTATGTCTTAGGTACATAAACTTCATTCAAATTTGATCAGAAGCCTTCCAAAACTCTTCAAAAAGCCTGTCACAAACCTTATAATATCTTGTCAAAAGTCTTTTTGAGCAATACCATGAGAAATCTTCGCTATTTGAACCTATTGGAAAGAGTTAAAACGAA